CCCTGGCAAAGTCTGAAGCAGAAGGTGCTGTCAGAAAGCCACTTTCAAATTGAATAATTTGTCATCTAGAACACAGGAAAGGGAGGCTCAACCTCACCATGAAGGTGTTTGAAATCCTACCTCCCACTACCTGGAGAACATCCTCTATAATAGATGTTGAAATATCTGGAAAATAAGCAGTGAAGCCAAGAGAGAGCGTGTACAGCCATGAACAGAATTTCTCTCTTCCTTTCTCACAAAGATCTCAAACTGCTTTCCAAAGTAACGTACCTGGGTGTGTTTGCATTGCAGTCTTCATGGTAGGGTCCTGGGAGACTTCTGACATGAGGCCTAGACACTAGTCCCTGTGTTCATGCATTTTATTCTAAGAATTCAGTCATTCATTACCCGCTCAGCAGTCTTAACTGAGATGCTATGAAGTAGAAAAAAAACCCTCCCCGTAGAATATGAGATGAGTGCTTATTAAGAAAGCCAAACATTGAGATGCGTCCCTTTTTGCCTGGCAATTTTTGACAGGGGCAGACCATGAGACGATCTATCAATGTGCCAAATAATCACTTAAGCATATAAATTACAAAAGTAAATCGTTGTATCAGGTTGAGTATAAGAATGAAAGACTTGGAAAAGTATACTTTTAGAAATCATTAAATAGAATTTGGAGAAAAATTCACATTTTACAAGGATATCCATGTTTATAACACAGAATAGCAAAATGATGTCACTGTTAAGAATATAATAGCAATTAACTGACTAATCTTAACACATTTCCTCACAAAACCCTGTTTTGCAAGATGATGACTGCTCCAGTTCCCATCAAGACAGGGCCATTGGAGATTTTCCAAACCTTAAGAGCCTTGGGTTCAAAACAGCCCTCCCTTTAAGAATAGGAAAAAAAAAAAAATAAAAAAAAGGGGAATGAACCAGCAGAAATTAAGAACAACAAAAGAGTGCACTACTGTGTAGCTCCAGTGTGAGTCTTGGAAATGTCACCTTGTGCACCCTATAATTTAATCTGCTCGTATTTCTTGCAGGGCACCAAAAAAAAAAAAGAAATAACAAACTATACACAAGGTTTTCCTTTAAAAAACTCAGTTCATTTTCTAACTGTCTTACTTTTCCCCTAAAGACCTGTTGCTGCAGGTGAGAATCCACATGTGTGTTTAGATGAAGGGCCTTGTGACTGAAAATCAGCCACTGATGATCTTCGTATAATTGGTGCTTCAGCCAGTAATTGAATGCGGGTGGAATAAAGATGCCTTGAAGAAACCCTGTGTCTCTCAGGCAGCTCTTTCTCTCTACAGATTAGAAACAAACCGGGCATTTTTATAGTTAGTGTGCATTTTTAATTAGCATTGTAGTTACCTAAGTAAATAATGCATAGATTAAAATACTCATTTTAAAGAAATGACAAAATACTTAATTAAAAGCAGAATAATGAGTGAGAGGAATTCTCCACCAGGAAAACGGTGAAGCTGAGGAGCTATTACTAGTCTTCTGTTATGCAAAGTGACATCCCTTTTATCAGGTACTAAATGTGGCTCTATCTCTTGGTTGCTCTGATGCTGGGACAATGGGGCTGCCACCATAGATGTAGATGGTAGAGAAGCCAGACAGTTGGGAATCCTGGCAAAAATGGAGATATTGATAAAGCAATTGGGAAAGAGATAAACCCTCTCAGTCTCTGGAGGCGACTGCTGTCAGCTGTAAAGGGCAGGTAACCCTTTAAGGGTGATATCAAATGCCATCCAAGCAAATGGAGCAGCGTGGAAAAAGATATTAAATAGAAAATAGAAGAAATCACCAAGGCAATAGCTGAGCAAAACGAGGAAGTAGCGAAGAAAAATTATAAAATGTTTGAAAAACTGTCTGGCAGGGAGAAAAAAATCCCACTCTTCCCCTGAATGGGCCCATGCCTCAGTCATTAAGAAAAAACACCCTCCTATAAAACTAATTCAGGAGAAACAGAACCCTCTCTGAGATTTCCTGTGGCTTTGCCTCTGCAACTACGGAGGGGGCATGAGTAAATGGGATAAAAAAACCACAACAGATTTGTGGCAACGCTTTGCCAGCTCCTGCTGAAGAACGGCCCCAGAACACCATGTGAGGGTAGCACCAACGCAGGAACATTTTGCACAAAAACAAGCCCAGGGAGTAACATCAGCAGCAATTTGATGGTTGCACGTCCAGGCAATGATTCTGTGGTTACCAATGCTTAGTTTTATAAACCTAAAAGTAGTACCAGCGATTACATAAGAATTACTCATGTGCTTATAATTAAAAGCTTGCTGGACCTAGCATTTAAGTGCGTGCTTTTATGTTTGTGTGCACATTTTTATATCAGACAACATTCGTGTCCTCATCTTGCTAAACAAACATCTGAAATCATTGCTCTCGCAGAGCGTTCCTCCCCTGGGGATCCCATCGAGAAAGCCTCAGCGACGGGTTAAACCCCATCTTCGGATCAGAAGGTGACTCCTTCCTTCAGCAACTGTTTTTTTTTTTCTTTCTGTACAAGCCAACTGTGTAAATTCAGGTGAGGCTTCAGGGCAGTATTTTAAAATGGGATCTCTGAGATGGGAATCTTAATTCTTAATAGAGCTGACCTTTGCTTTCAGGAGCTGTGGAGTGTTATTGGCTAATCAATATCTGGCTTGGCTGCTCTGCTTCGGCTTTTTTCCTCTGAAAACTATTTACCTCTCAAGGGTGAGATGAAACTTCATAAATGTCTAGTGCGGGCTTTAGAACAGTTTAAAAAGCGCGAAGTTTTACGAGGCAGAATGCAAGGCAAAGATATAGTTCTCTTGGAATTTTTCTGTTCATTGGAAAAGGAATATGGTCAGAGCCTTCTGCTGCATCCAGCAAAATAATTTCATCCTCTCGATACACTTTCATCCCCTAAAATATATGCTTCTTTAAAATGAAAAATACAAACTGCAGGGTTCAAGTCGCTTGTAAATTGTGTCCGAGTGTTGTCTGGAGAGACAGTACCGTCACAGCGAGGTGGAAGAGGAAGCACGGAGCAGCTTTATGTAAGATCCCTGCAGGAAGCGCAGCTCCTGCTCGAGTTTGGCAGGGACGCGGCCACGGATACGCTGGCTCCTCGGAGAAATGGCACTCGATTTTTAGAGAGTGGTGGTCAGGACCCTGTTCTACATCTGCTGATAAAGGAGGAGCAGGAGAATATGGAGCGTATCAGTTCAGCTTCTGGCTTCAGGCCACGCTCCGGGCAACGTGCCACCGCTATGAAATCACTCTGTTATTTTAGACCTCACATTAGATGGAGAGGGCAGCGCAAGCTGTTTGAAACTCAGCTTTGATGTATTTAAATGTTTTGAAATAATGCTTAGCATTTAATACAGAGTTTTGCTAACATTAGCTTTCCTAAGTGCCTGATAAAAACAGTCTTATTCCCCACTGTTTTAAGGCTATTTTTCTAATTAAATGCCGACACTTAAGCCATCAGCATTCACCACGAGAGTCAGTTGCTCAGACGTTATATCATCTATCTTAAATGCTGAATTATGTCCTAAATTTCTGACTGAAGACTGAAAACTACATTAGCTCTGTGGCAGATATGATTTGTCGCTGTATCTCCTAATTAACGGGAAACAAAGGGGGATGGCAGGAATAGCACTCTGATCTTCGCACGCAAAAAGACTTCTCTTTAGGCTAGTGTCAAAGTTGTCATTGACTTCACTGACAACAGTATTTGGTCACAAATACCCTGGTCTTTACTGCTTAAAATAATCTCCTTTAGTTCTTAGCCACACAGGGATGGCCAGGAGCTGCAGACCCGTGTCGGCATGCGAGAGTGTTTGAAGCTGAATGCGCGCTTGTTTTTGTAAGTAGTCGCTGTTTTTGGAGGAAAACAGAAGATATTAAAGAGATCACCACCTGACACCGACACATTTCAGCATCCCGCTGTAAGCAAAGAGCAGTTTGGCACAAAGCTGCCAGGCTCTGGAAAAGAGAAAGATGCCGGAGCCTCCTGTGGGACACCTACACCCCGTGCTCTTGCTTCTTAAGTTTAAATCAGGGGTTATCAGGCCTCTTTTCAAAGCCTTTATTCCAACCTCTGCGTGTTCTGCATTTTTTTTACATGGGGAAAAAAAAAAAAAAAGACCCAAACAATGAAGTTGTGAAGTAGCTTCGCTTCACCAGACAAGGGGTGTCTGGGAGACCCTGGCTGTTGGGACAGGGACATGGCAGTGTGTGGGCAGGGCGGGAGGGATATCTCCTGCTGTCCCTGCAGGAGGCCACTTGGACTTGGGCCACTTGCCCAAGGGATGGCCCTTGTGGTCCAGAGGTGGCAGCTCCGGCAGTGAAGAAAAAAACAACAAGTGAAGTGAAGAAGTGAGGACCCGCACTTCAACCCTCACAGACAGGGGCAGATCAGGCACTTCACCCGACTCTTCCATCCCCTCATCCCCTTCCTCCACTCCATCTCCTCCTTCCTCCATCCCCTCTCCCCCGTCCTCCATGCCCTCATCCCTTTCCTTGATCCCTTCATCTCCTTCCTTCATCCCCTCTCCTTGCTCCTTCGTCCTCTCATACCTGTTCTTCCATCGCCTCATCCCCTTTCTCTATCCCTTGCTCCTCCATTCCTTCATCCCCTTCTTCCATTCCCTGATCTCCTTCCTTCATCCCTGCTCCTCCATCCCCTCTTCTTCCCCATCCTCCATGCCCTCATCCCTTTCCTCCATCCCTCCATCTCCTTCCCGCATCCCCTCTCCTTGCTCCTTCATCCCCTCATCCCTTTTCCTCCATCCCCTCATCCCCTTTCTCTATCCCTTGCTCCTCCATTCCCTCATTCCCTTCTTTCATCCCCTTTTCTTCCCCTTCCCCCATCCCCTCATCCCTTTCCTCTATCCCTTCATCTCCTTGCTTCTCCATCCCCTCATCCCCTTCCTCCATCCCCTCTTCC